CACAGTACAGACGCTAGGGTATATGTGTTTCATTATCGAGTATGTCCTCGTCCACAGTACAGACGCTAGGGTATATGTGTTTCATTATCGGGTATGTCCTCGTCCACAGTCCAGACGCTAGGGTATGTGTGTTTCATTATCGGTTACGTCTTTCTACATAGTAAAGACGCTAGGGTGTGTGTGTGTGTTTCATTATCGGTTATGTTGTCATCCACAGTTCAGACGCTAAGGTATGTGTGTTTCATTATCGGGTATGTCCTCGTCCACAGTCCAGACGCTAGGGTATGTGTGTTTCAGTATCGGTTATGTTGTCATCCACAGCACAGACGTCAGTGTATGTGTGTTTCATTATCGGTTATGTCCTCGTCCACAGTACAGACGCTAGGGTATATGTGTTTCATTATTGGGTATGTCCTCGTCCACAGTACAGACGCTAGGGTATATGTGTTTTATTATCGGTTGTGTCCTCGTCCACAGTACAGACGCTAGGGTATATGTGTTTCATTATCGGTTATGTCCTCGTCCACAGTACAGACGCTAGGGTATATGTGTTTTATTATCGATTATGTCCTCGTCCACAGTCCAGACGCTAGGGTATGTGTGTTTCAGTATCGGTTATGTTGTCATCCACAGCACAGACGTCAGTGTATGTGTGCTTCATTAGGGTGTTTTTGTTGTGATAAGAACCAGCCAATTTTTGCTTCCTTGACATAGGAAAAAGCTTGATACCTTAAGGATGGGGCCTGGTGTAGCCAAGTGATTAGCGTGCCCAGACTGCAGAGCCTTAAGATCATATCGCATTATTTGTGTAAACAATCGATAGTTATTTATTGGTTATTTAAAGGTAAGTTTTTTGTTTTGGGGTAGGAGAGAAACATGAACAAGACTCAATGTGTCAAACAATTACCATTCGCAAACAGAGTGGGCCCAGGCGTGACTTGGTGGTTAGGTTGCCCAAATTGTGAGTTCGAGGGTTAACATTTGGCGCAAATATGTATTATAAAGGCGACGGGTATGTCCCGTCACTATTCGGTCAGACAAGAGGAGCCCATGGATTAATTCTAAGAAGGTGTCTTGCTGCCAGTGTCTCGAAGTATCCTAACTGTTATGTTTAAAAACTAGGATTTTGGTGTAATCTCACGTACGTTGTTATAGCTATATCATTTAAGTTGCTCCAATATTAACATTCTAAGGTTTCCCTTTTTTAAATTGGGAAGGGGAATGAAACATAGCAGTAAGAACACTTTCTTGCAGTTCATATTAAGTCATTGTTTGTTCTTGGACGACACGTGATTACAGGACTGACCTTCAATTTGTGTCCACGTCTTGAAAAATATATAAACGTGCACTTACCCTGGAAACCATGGTTGTTCTGTGATGAAAGAGATGAACGACGTGAGGATGACAGATTTTGTCTCTGTATATATATATATTAAAACCAAATTGTCCAAGCATAAAATGAAAACAGGTCAGGATAATGAAAGTGGAGTTTAAAAAATTAAAGTGCACGTGTCGTTGCACGCGAGGGGCACTCTTAGTAACAAAAACTTGTTGATGTCCGGGAAGTTCTTAGAGGACACCGCCTTGTCCAATGACGTCACTAATTGTAAAACGGGTAAAATAAAGCGCTAAGAGAATAAGTAACTTGTATTTTATTACACCTAGACACACACGGCCGTTACTCAACGACGAAGAGAAAAACAAAACAATCCTTACAAATAAAGGATGTCAAGAACTGAAGAAGTAAATCCTGTACATAAATATCTTTAGTTCTTTGAAAAGGATGTCTAAAATCTGGGTTAGACTGAAGGTTAAATTATTTTTCATAACACAGGTAAACGAATAATTAGGTCAGAGCGACATCAAGTGGGAACTCTCATTCATATCCAACATAAACTCATAACCCTCAACTTGAGGGTTTTTTCTAACTTAGTTTCGATTTATTCTGTCAGTGACGTTAATAATTGTCGTTGTTAGTTGTATATGAACAACACTGTTTTATCAAACGTCTGGTATGTTCCCTTAAAAATAAAACACTTTATTAGGCTTATAAATCGTTGTTAGTTGTATAATAAAAACCAATGTTTTATCAAACGTCTGGTATGTTCCCCTAAAAATAAAACACTTTATTAGGCTTATAAATCATTGTTAGTTGTATAATAAAAACCACTGTTTTATCAAACACTTAGTATGTTCCCTTAAAAATAAAACACTTTATTAGGCTCATAAATCATTGTTAGTTGTATAACAAAAACCACTGTTTTATCAAACACCTAGTATGTTCCCCTGAAAATAAAACACTTTATTAGGCTTATAAATCATTGTTAGTTGTATAATAAAAACCACTGTTTTATCAAACACCTAGTATGTTCCCCTGAAAATAAAACACTTTATTAGGCATTATAAATCGTTGTTAGTTGTATAATAAAAACCACTGTTTTATCAAACACCTAGTATGTTCCCCTGAAAATAAAACATATATACAATTTATATATATTCTAAAATTAGATTATTCGGTTCCCATTTTTCATATTGTATTATTTGTTGAAACATCTTATTCACAAACAATTAAATGAAGTATACTATTGTAGAAAGTTAAATTATTTAGTTGTCACATTACTTGAGGGGAAACTTTATTCCTGAGTAATCAAAGTAAATTCATCTTTATAGAAAACTTAAATATTTCATCTTTCATATTTTGTTACTTGTTGACAAATAAGTGATACAATTAAATTACGAATACTTTTGTACAAAGTTGAATTATTTAGTTTTCATATTAATTAATTAATATAAAATCTTCAGCCATAAATAATTAAATGAAGTTTGTAATATTTCTTTACCGT